GGCCGGGCACGGCGCCCCCGGGGCTGGTGGGAGGCCGGGCCTGGGGAGGGGGCAGCGGCTCTTCCCCCGGCCTTGCCCTCTCATACCTCGGCCTCTTCCCTGCCCTTCCTCCCCGGGATGACCTCATCGCCTGCCCCAGCGCTCCCCCGCAGGCATCACCCCAGGAATTAGTTAACTTGAACCCTAAACAGCGTGCCAAAGCAGCGGACTCATCTGCAAGCACTGAGACGGCCCAATGTCACCGTGTCCCCAGCACAGCTCCAACGGGAGGTCATCCCTACTCACAGCACTCCCCAGAGAGGTTTCTGTCACCGGGGCTTTACCTGCCAAGCACAAGCCTCGCCTGAGCCTCGCTATTCCTTGTGAAACGTGCTTAACATCTGTCCTCCATTGCTCCTGCTACAACTCAGTTTCCTTCTTTTCCCGCTCCTGGTGAGCATTAAAAGACGTTTCATTTCACTTTTTGTTTACTCACTGAAGGCAGTTTGCAGTCCGCCCTTCAAACCTGTCCTTCCCCGACAACCACAGTTACTCAGCTCCATTAGTCCCCAAAAGTTCTTGTCACTCTCCCAGTAACTGTTTTTCCCAGTTCATTTCTGGAACACAATGCTGGAAGCAGCGGTGGGACTGTACTGGGTACAGCCTTGAGCTTGATATGCTACTTCAGAGCAGTAAATACAGTTCGCTGATCATCACACAGCCCATGCACACACTGCAGCTATGCCTCCTGCGCACCACGCTCCTATTTTCCCCCCCGAGCGCCTGACCTTTTCGGTTCCCGGTCTGGTTTTGATCCTCTGTAATCCCAATTACATTTCTGTGCGCGCATGTGTGCGGAATTGCAGTCTAGCCAGCGAAAGCCATCATGCATGGAAACCCCAGCGTGGCAGCCCACGTCAAAACCCTTGCGTCTCTCCCTGTGAGCCCTCGGGCGCAAGCACGAGTAAGGCGCAGGTGCCCGAGGTGGCCAAGCTGCAGAGCCAAGCGTGAAAAGCCCGTGTGCAGGCCGTGGAACGGGGAGCACACAGGGAGCTGCTGGTCTCTGCTTTTCCTTTTCAGAGCAGCGGCTGCACGAGCACGTTGATTTTTGCAGGTACCTTATATTCAGAAGCGGCTTCCTTCTGAACAGCTGGAACTTGTTTGTGAGCAGCTGGGGGAAGGGAGGAAGCAAGAAAAATGCTCAAATCCAATCTTGAAAACAAGAGGAAGCAGCAAATAAGAAAAATTTTAAGCCACAGCCTGGGATGAACTGTGATGTGTCCGGCAAACGCTTAACGCGCTAACTTGTGTCTGGGAGCTCATATCCTTGATCCAATATAACCTGGGGTAGCCTGACTGCACACCCTGTGCATAACAAAGACAGCAGGCTAGGGCTGAGTCAGTAATTTACATTACAAAATAAAGCTTTAATCGATCAAATGGAGAAATCAATAGCGCACCCACCGAAGAAAAATCCTGATGGTTAACACCCTATAGGGTTTAACAGTTCTGTTCTCAGTTTTTCCATATGCTTTTTTTTTTTTTTTTTTTTTTTTTAAATGTGGAAACACAACTTCCAGCAGGAGCTGGAAATCTTCAGAGCATTGCAGAGGCTGTTGGAGATTTCAGCTGACACTTGAGAAAGGCTCAGAAGTTATTAGGGCCACAGAAACAAACTGAAAAAGAGGTTCTTCTAAACCACCTGGCAGCAAAATAACAAACCCTGAAGAGCTGTTCAGGTCACTCTTAACATTCCAGCATGATTATAAAGAGGTAATCCAGCGCTGTCCCAACTACCATGCCAGGCTGTCTACAGGCTGCAGAAGGCAACCCAACCCACAGTTCACACCCCACACCTTCAGCAGATTTCACAAACTGTACATTTCCTTAGCAGCAGCCATTCCAGCTACAGAGCAAACTCCTGGGTCCAGGGCAAGTGCAAGTCACCGTCTGCCCACAGTCACTCTGCAAGGCACTATGTCCCAGAGAGAAGGGAAAGCTGCTGTACGACGCAGACCATGGGTGTCACACACTGTCCTCCAGCTTTGAGCTGCAGTCCCCTTGGCGTGGCGCACCACTCCAAACAGAACTTTCCTCTCCCTCCCTCCTATATCCCCCTTGAACCGGACCAACCAGAGAATGGCTCTAGAGCATGTAACTCCCAAACCAGAACAAGAAACGCTTTGCGCTCCGCACATGGCACCACTTGGACACTTTAGATCCATGTGTATTTTGGCCTTGTCCCCAAGTTGTGTTTCTGCAGCTCTGAAACACCCAACGCCCCGAGGTGAGACATGAAGAGAGCCAAGGTCACACATTAAACCCTGTGAGCTTTCTGGAGTGGCCTTTAAGGCACAGAAAGAGAAGATCCCCACAGCCATTTGGAGATGATGAAACCACACACACTGCGCTTTCATGATGCTACCAGGGTTATTCAGAATTAGTGCCTGAGAGCACCAAGCCTCAGCTCAGAATGGGATTCAGAGTCCAAGCACACAAGGCACTGGTGGCATGCGGGATAACAGTATCCGCTTCCCCGCCATTTACCTTCTCTGGAGGAGAAAGAGAGGTGCAATAGGACCCCATTCCTCACCACAAGCATGTGTCCCACAGCTCCCTCCAGAGGAACACACTCTAGCAGAAATTGCGTAGCTGCTCTCAGTCTGGAGATCAGACACCCCTCCCCAACACACTCCGAAGAATTTGTGTGTGTTTGCATGCGCATGCTCCAAGAAACAATGAGATACACATCAGGCCGGTGCCCCTAGCTTTAGCAGCTGGCGGCCATCACCATTGCTCTGATGTTCCTCCCTGAAGCCTCAGGCACTAGTTTACTCTTCCCCCTCCCATTTCTGGCATGAGTAATCTACATACTTGCCCATTGCCAGACTGCCAATTTTCTGGTGTGGGTTTTGACCACACAGCCCTTTTCTGCCTTTGTCATTTCCTCACCAGTACACATGTGGCAAGGGAGGGGGCCTGGCTGCCAGAGGCAGAATAGCCACCACCTCCTACAGATACTGGAGCACAGAGGCCAACATGCTGCTTAGGCTCACTCTCCGCCTCAGAGGATTCACTCCCAGTTTTGCCACCAGCATTCCTCAGCCATACAAATCTTTTCTTTTTCCCCTCCCCCTCCTGAAGGGATCCATGCTAAAAAACATATACTGAGGTCCCAAGAAGAAAGGCAATTAACTGCTGATGACTGCAGCAGCCCTGAGGTAAAGGGCAGCCTCTGCCGATCCCACCCCAGAGAGGGCCACACACAGACAGCAAGGGCATTAGGGCATTTCATACTCCTCTGAGCTATCGCAAATTAAGATCGGCACATTCAGCAGACAATGGAATGAGC